CCTTCTCTTTGCATGATGTGACTTGTTTCTTACTAGCCTCATATGAATAGTGTTGCTGCTGCGTTATGTTGCAGCAGGTGGCGCTCTCCACTGGGTGACCACTGCGGGTGTTGACTGCCTGCTGCTGTTGTTGCTGCCTCACACACCTTCGTGATGTTGCAGTGAGCAGCGTGGTCTGTGTGTCCCTCTGTGTTGGAGCGTCGCAGGCTATGTTGGTCAGTATTTTACGCACATTATTTTTTATTTTTATTTTTTAGGTTAAAACGTTATTTTTATTAGGAGCTTGTGAAAAGAATATGTATCCGGTTTTGGTCTACTATAATTTGGTTTTGAGTTATGTTTACCTTTTCTCCTTTGTGTTTGTTGTAGTCAAAGAGTCTCGGTTTTAATCGAATAGAAAGGATTTAAGATTTTGGTTTTTTCTTTTCCTCCCCACCCTCCCCCTTATCCCCTCCACGCGGAGGGTTCTGGAGAGGAAGGGACTCTAGAATCTGCCACTTTGTAAGTCCTGCCGGGTAATCTTTCGGCGGTATAGAGAATTGATTGTATGTTTTGTTTATTGCGTGTTATCGTTTGATGATAAGTATGTGTTTTGGAATCATTTGGAACTTCATAGAGTATTTGTTTGTCTATTTGTTTTCTATTTATTTGTTTACTTTTGACCAAAGTAGGAAAGCATATTCTATCAGCATTTTTAGAGTTTGTGTTCTGTTATTTTTTTTTTCTTTGTATTGTTGTTTACAGGTCTTTTTTCTTTTTGTTTGTGTGAAGACCTTATAGAGAGAAATAAAAAATGAAGTTCTGTAGAGAGGGTTTTATGTTTTTTTATTTGGTTTCTGCTTTTTTCCCCCTTCTCTCTCTTTTTTTGTTTTTGCTGTATCGTTTTTTTTTTCTTTCTTTTTTTCATATTCTTTCTTCTGGGTGCGTGTGTGTAAGTAAGCGGTTTAATGAGTGCCATGAATCCTATTTATGAACTGGTGGTGCTTGAGGCGGTGAGGCGCCAATGCGAGTCGCGGCGCACGGATCCTCGTGTTGGCTCTCATAATAGTGGTATTGGTATTGGTATGGGTTTTGGTCTTTGTAAAGAGGGTGTTGGGATTGATGCTCTCCTTATGTGGATTGAGTCGCGGGAGCGGTGTGTGTATACAGATCTTGCACGCCGTTGTGTACATCCCGCCTCTGTGACTCCCCCGACTTCTGAGTTGGTGGAACAGGTGTCGGAGTTCAAAGCACTTGTGCGTGGTGTTGTGCAGGGATCGCTTGCGAATCTGTGCAGATTAACACCGGCGAATGGTGTAGTAGGAGATCGTGGTAAAGGCAATGTCAATATGAGTGGTAATGCTGGGGTGGTTTCTGGTAATAATAATGCTGATAGAGATAGGGATGGTGATGGTGATCATAATGCTCTACTGGAAAAACGAGAGAGTTGGAAAACTTTTTTGAATCGACGGAGTGGTAATGGTGGGGTACTGCGTGAAGAGGATCACTGCCGTTCTTCCACTTGTGGATGTGGATGGAGATGGATGGATTTTATTGGTGTTCCTTCAACCACAAAGCGTCTTGGTGGAGGTGGTGGTGCTGTTGGGGAAGAAATACGTATACATATGCCATCATTTGAGCAATGGGATGTGGAATTGCAGTCGGCTGTACGTCGTGTGGGGGATGTGGTGAGTGCGGCACAGACGGAGATGTTATTGGCATTAGATCAACTTGGAGATGGTCGTTTTCCATATTTAACAGATGAGAGTTATACCGTACATTCCCCATCTATTTGGATGCAGTTGGTGGTATTATTTGAAAATGCCTTTGAGTCTGTGGTTCGTGGAGTGGTGGAGTTTATATTGTGGTGTATGCATCAGCAGTTTCTGGGGCATGAAGGAATGGGTGTGCGGCCGTTATTTACAGTAAAGGCGATTTGGTCCTACACGGGAGGAAGTGTGGTTCTCTCTCCATCACCACCAGAGATTCATGAACGTATTATGCGAAGAATAAAAAAAGAATTCATATGGAGTATTGTCCCAGAGTTTACACTTAGTCATATGACGAAAAGACCTGTACCTACTATAGGACGTGTGAAAAGACCACTCTTACGGGAATTACTGATGGAAGATACCACGATTAAACGTTTATGGGATAATATTTACTATACCGTAAGTCAGAGATGTGATGAATTAAGTGATATGACGCGGAATTTAACAGAAACGTATACCTTTTACTTTTCCAGTGAAGAGGAATTTGCACACTTAGATATTCATCGACTACGTGAGATGCGGGAAACCGTACAAAGCTCTTCTACTGATTTCATACAACCCGCAGGTGCTGGTGCCTTTGCTGTGCAGATTGAATCACTTCTACAGGTAATTCAAGGCAAACTGGAAAAATCAATATTAACCGCACAGAAAGCATTAGAACAGGCGGTGGTACATGCAAATGTAAAGATGACGTCAACACGTTGTAAAGCACTCTTTGGTGGTGGATGCAGTGCATCTAATGCCTCTACATTAACCGATCGCCTCATCGCATTTCGTGCTGGACGTAAAGTCATTAATAAATACGATAAAGGATTAGATCCAGAGGCTTATATTGCACGCTTTTTAGAGGAACAACGTGCGGAGTCTCTTCATTTGCGTCCATCCAGTGCCACTACCGGTGGACGGGAAAGTTCATCTGCTTTACAGATATCCAGTCAAAAGAGCAGCAGCGGCAGTACAGTTCCAACCATTTCCGCACCCGTTACTGTAGCGCCAACTACAATAAAAGAAACATTTGCTTCTACAGGTAAAAAGTATGTAAACCGATGGGCACCACCAAAGGTGGTATCTCCCACAGGAAGTAACCATCATTCTACACAAGAGACATCCATGGATGGAAACGCAATGGATTTGTTGAAATCACGTGTATTAACACCAAGACCAACATCCTCATCATCATCATCACGATGGCCTTTGAACAGTAACTCAAAGAATCTACAGTCTTCACTTGAGGATCATCTCTCTCGATCTACTAGTCAAACTTCCTCCCAACGTCCACAATCAGTGGAAAAAGCAACAGAAAAATCTCTTTCTTCACTTTTGGGTCTACGACAGGATCAATCGCGTGGTGTGAAGAACTATTCACCCGCTTTGAATTTACAAAGTGTTAAGCAGAGATCATACGATAAAACTCCTGTACGAGAAAGTGTAGATAAGGAACGACCAACACCTACCGCGAGCCATCCATCACGATATGATACAGAGAAGAAGAGGATTGATGATAATATAGTTAGTACATCTCCTGTACGAGAAACCACAGATAATGAACGACCAACACCTACCGCGATCCATCCATCACGATATGATACAGAGAAGAAGAGGAGGATTGATGATAATATAGTTAGTACCACTCCTGTACGAGAAAGTGTAGATAAGGAACGACCAACACCTACCGCGAGCCATCCATCACGCTATGATACAGAAAAGAAGAGGATTGATGATAATATAGTTAGTACATCTCCTGTACGAGAAACTACAGATAAGGAACGACCAACACCTACCGCGAGCCATCCATCACGCTATGATACAGAAAAGAAGAGGAGGATTGATGATAATATAGTTAGTACATCTCCTGTACGAGAAACTAAAGATAAGGAACGACCAACATCTACCGCGAACCGCACATTTACTTCTGTTAATAAGAAGCCAACTGTGCGAAATACTGCTGCCATTGAAGCGGCTGTAAAGCGTGTGGAAAGAATCAAAACAATGTGCCCCTTTTTACCTGAAACGCCTTCTTCAGGTGTATTCCTTGAAGATCTAAACCTTTCGGATCCGCGTCTTGAAACTGCTATGAATCGCCTTCGAGCTGTGCGTGGAAATGCCTCTGTTATGCGGAGTTATCGTTCCATCGCACTAGCAGAAGATGCCGTCGCTGCTATCGTGGAGTCCATTGCGGATGATGTGTATAAGTTAACTGTACGAATGATGACACTTTTTCCATTTTTGGAAAGTCGGGTTGATGGGGTTTTGCTTGGAAATATTCCAGAACTCGAAACCGATGTTGAGTTTCAATCACTTTTCACGATGTATTGCGATATGGTTCGAGAAGAGAAACCAACCGCAAGTGTTATTCAATGTCTACAAGAACGTGCTTCTCTGTTAGTGGAGGATATTCCATATGTTGTGGCAGAAGAGCGTTACTCTCTTTATCCTTTACTAAAACCCATTATACAAGAAACACCGAGTCCTACTTCTGCTGTGGATGCGGCATTCTCACGTGAAGAGAGTACTCAATCTTTGGAAATAATGCCGAATGTAGAGAAACCAACAACAACAACAACAACAACAACAACAACAGCAACAACAGCAAAGGTATCTGAATTCCATACACAGGAACCTTTTATGGAAAGAAGACCAGTATTAGATGATACGGAAAGTCTTCTCCCTACCACTGTGAGTGAAAAACCAGTTTTACAGCCACAGGAACAGTATCTTTCACAAGAGAAGAGGAAATCCGTTGAAATGACAAAATCAATAAGAGAAAGTACTCCATCCGTACAGAGAAAGCCACCGGAGACGACAAAAACAACGACCAAACCGCCAATATCTTCAGAATATACTTCAAAATCTTCTAAAGTAAAGGAAGGAGAATCTACAGAAACAGCAAATCCTAATAAAAATTATGGTAACATTCCTCTTTCTCAGCATTCAACATTTAATGTTGATAATAATACAAGAAGGAATTTTATGCAAACAGGACTTGGATCAAATGTTGATACGACAAGAATGGAAAAGAATGAGAATGATATACAAAATATTCGTCCCACAGGGGGAATTATGAACAGTTTTCCACCACCGAACAAACTATTTGAAGAGCGTAAACCCAAACGATCATTAGATAGCAATTTAGCTGTTTTACCAGCTGTAGGAGAACGAAATGTACAATCCGTTTCATCCAATACTCGAGCGGGAAAAGAGATGATAACACGTGGACCTTTAAAAGAGAATCCAACTACACAAGGTTCTATCCAATGTAAACAACAACAGCAGCAACAACAACAGTCACCTAACTCTGTACACAGTCCATTAGTGAATCTTTCACCTATTGAAGAAAACCGACATCATACAGATTGTCCATCTTTCAACAGTATTAAAAAAGTCTTGGATGAGGAACGTGAACATCTGGAAAGTCTTGAAAGCATGCTTGAAGATATTCGTCAGGCGGAAATTGCTCTACAAAACAAGAAGGAACAATCAAAGGGGAATGCGGCGAAACGACGATTATCTGAAGAAGCCTCTCAGGCAGTATCAAATGAGGATAGAGATAATTTAAGGAAAACATTACCACTTCCTAGACGTTTCTCTGCGATCCCAACGGAAAATGCGGCTTCTTCTTCTTCTGCTGCTGTTGTTGTTTCTTCCTCTTCTCCTAACGCAGGACTGAAGCCAAACGTATCCCAGAGGAGAACATCCGCAAAAGCAACAACAACAACAACGGCTTCTGCAAATAATGAAAAAAAAGAAGCTGCACCCCTTGGACCTTTATTCGAGGATCGTCACAACAATCCCCCTGTACTTGGACGTAAAGGTGGTAGTGAGGCTGAAGTATTACGTCAACTTTTCAGAGAACGATGGAATAATCGTGAATTAAATCGTATGAAAGAATCTGAAATGAAAGATGTGAAATTGGGTGAGGGAAGTAGAGAAAATATACAGAGTCGAACACCTATGAGTTTTAATTCCTTCACAGATGCTGTTGTAAGGTCCTCATGGGGAGCTCTACGTAATGACTCAGACCCTCTTTATTCACAACAGTTACCATCGCTTCCTCGTTCCTCAACACGGACGAAACGTTTCCCTTTTCGGCAAGAAGATAATCAACTAACACAAACACAACAACAGCAACAGCAAGAACAGCAGCAACCTCAACAACAACAACAACAGGGACCGTACAGTAATAAACTCTCACGACTACCTTGGGGAAGATATACACTACATCGAAAGGTACCTGGTCTTATTGCATCTCCCCGGCGTTTATCCAGTGCCCCTGAACCTTCTCGACAAAGTGATGATGGTTCTATGCCGTTTCCTGCTATTAGTTCAGGATCCTCCGTAGATAACTTGCCCCATACATCTCAGGATTCACAATGGGAGTGTATTTCCAATATTACTACAGGTATGAGTCAACAATACGCTGCATTATGTCGTCAAGCAGGCATTAGACCTAATAGTATGCTTTTACGTTTGCTTCCAGATACACATGGGGCATCTGTGAGTCGTATAGATACATCTGTAAACTATATTGGTCCTAAAGGTCTTTTACCACTTTTACAAGTATTACGAGGGAATGTTGGACTTGAATATCTTAATTTAAGTCACAACAACTTGGAGAATGATGAGGTGATTGATCTTGTCAATGTACTCATGACAGATTCTGGTGCCTCCTTACGGTATTTGGATCTCTCTAATAATCCTGTTTCTCTCGCTGGTGGGGCTGCGCTGCTGCGGCTTGTGCAGACGAGACCGTTATTAGTAACGGTGGGGTTAAAAGGCACTCTTGTACCGCGTCAGTTGGCTCGAAGTATTCAAGAAGCATGTGAGGCCAATAGCGCCGCTCTTGCATAGAGATACTGAGAGAGAAGGAGAGAGAGAGAGAAAGAGAGAGAGAGAGAGGAGAGCGTAGAAAGAAAGAAAAATGAAGAAGAAGATAAAGAAGATAAAGAGAATAGGAAGGAAGGGAGGAAAAGAGGAAAAAAGTAATCAAAAAAGAAGAAGAAAGAGAAATGCAAAAGTTTATTTCTTTCTCGAGATGGAAAAAAAAAAAAAACAAATATGTAATTCAATTAGTTTTTTATTATTAGATGTCAACTAAGACTGGAGAAAATGGGGGATATATATATATATATCTGTTTTTGAACGTTCTTTTTTTTTCTCGTGCGTACAACTATTGGGCGTTTTTTTTTTTCCTTTTCTTTTCTTTGCATGTAAATATCAAATATGGGCTAATAACAATCTATTTCAGGAATAGCGTTAATCCACAAGAACAATGACGAAAACAACAAAAACAAGAAGAAGAACGATAGAACGATAGAAAAAAAAAGAAGAAAAAAAACAAGAAACATGCTATTCATCATCATTTTTTTTTTATTTTGCAATTCTCATGGAGGTTATGTTTTAGTCCCTTTTTTATTGTGTTTTTTTTTCTTTTCTTTTTTTATTTTAATTATTATTATTATTATTATTATTATTATTATTCTTCCTAGAGGGGGGAAACCTTGTGTTTCATAGGGTTTTTTCTTTTTTTTTTTTCTCTTTTTTCGTTTCCACAATGTTATCTGCTGATCTGTTTATCTCATGACCCCATTGGTTTTCGTTTTTTTTTTTTTTCTGTTTTCACCCTTTTACGTTTAATGATTCTTTAATTACTATTGGTTTATTACTCCCATACTTTTTTTTTTCTTTTCTCTTCTTCTTCTTCTTCTAAACAACAATAACAACAACAACAATAACAACATTTTTTCTTTTCTACGGGTTAAAGGTACTAGTTTCTCTACTGGGCAGCGGTCAAGAAGAGAGAGAGAGAGAAGAATGTTGTATGAGAGAAGTAATCCAAACAACTTCCTTGTTGCTGTGCGTTGTCGCTGTCTACATGGAGAAGAGAAGAGAATATCTCAACTGCGGTATGGACAGAGAAGTGATACCCATCATCACTGTGTGCTTTTAAACCGTACACTAACATCCTCTTCTTCCTCCCCTTCTTCATCTTTATTATCATCATCATCATCATTATTTCCAAATACCCAGACAACAACAACAACAATAACAACAACAGAGTCAGCAGAGAAATCACAGGTAAGTGTGATTCTTATTGATCCTAATAGCGGCAGTGATTTCAGTTCATTATGGAGAACACACACTGAGGTGGATAATAATAGTAGTGGTTCTTCTTCTTCCTCTTCTTTATCATTATCATCATCATTATCACTTCTGCAGGAACAGCATTTAGAGTATCGAGACCTACAGCATCTATTGATGAGAAAAGATGGTGTTCGGCGTTTTAACTTTGATGAGGTATTCTCTCCTAGTGCCAAAAATGAAGAAATCTACACTAGACTTGTGCAGAGATTAGTGTTTGCGGCGAAGAAGGGTTACAATGGTACATTCTTTGCCTATGGTCAAACAGGAACGGGTAAAAGTTATACGGTCTTTGGTGAGAAAAAGAAGAATATTCCAGGATTGTGTAGTCTTGTAGCTTCCGATTTGTTTAAACCACTTTACTCTCTACAGGAGAAGGAAGAGGAGAAGAATGAGGAGAAGAAGAAGGGATCACTAGAGAGAGAGAGGATGAGGATGAGAATAAATGCTCATAGTGGTATCCACACATTATGCAAAAAGAAAGAAACAATTATATTTCTCTCCTTTTTAGAATTATATAATGAACGTTTACGTGATTTATTAGTGGACTCTACATTATCTATGGTGAGATCAGAGAATTTATCTAAACATGAAGGTATCTCAACTAGAGAGGCTTTACCTTCTATTCGCTATGATGATTTGGAGATAATAGAACATCCTGTGAAGGGTGTGCAGGTACCACATCTCACACGTATTCGTATACGATCTATACAAGAGTTAGAAGAATTATTAGAAGATGGAAATCATCGGCGCAGGAAAGCACATACAAATAGTAATGAAATTAGTTCAAGAAGTCATGCAATTGTACAGTTTACAATTAAACAACCTATAGAGATAGTGGATGGGAATGAAAATCATACAACTATAGTTTATTCACATAATATAGAGAGAAGAGAAGATACATTAGGGTTGTATTCATCGCTTACGGCGAAACTCTCTATTGTGGATTTAGCGGGTAGTGAACGAATAACGGGATTTGACTCCTTTTCACGAAGTGTATATACAACTGTAGGAGTGACGAAGAAGAATAGTTTCTCTGCAGTGCAACAACAACAACAGCAAGAACGTGCGAGTCGTCTTCGTGAGGGTTCCAATATCAATAAAAGTCTTCTCGCACTTGGAAATTGTATCCAAGCACTTGGAGCGATTTGCCGAGAAGCGAAGAAACGAGAATACATACAAAAGAAGAAGAAGAACAAGATGATGATGATGATGCCTGTGCGTTTCTCTTTATCTTCACATGCTTATACTCACAACCCTTCAGATATTGGCGTTTACAGTCCTATACCACTAGAGGCACATGTGCCCTATCGTGATAGTAAATTAACACGTCTACTGAAGGAGTCTCTAGGAGGAAATACACAGACAGTGATGTTAGCCACAATCTCACCAAGTTGTTTGGCATTTGAGGAAACACTCTCTACACTAAAGTACGCCGCACGGGCAAGGAATATTACCCGTGATGTAAGGCCTAATATTATTCTAGATGAAGTACAAGAGGATGATGAAATGCATAGGAATGATATTCTTCATTTTAATAATAATAATAATAATAATAATAATAATAATAATAATAATAATAATAATAATAATAATAATAATAAAGAGAAGCATACATTTGAAAAAGAAGAAGAAGAAGAAGAAGGCAAACCTGTGGGAATGAAAAGATACAATCCCGTTGAGAAATCTCCTATCAACATAGACTACCACTCTGATAGTGAGAGAGACCGTCGATTGCTGTTATTAACATTAGAAGCGGAGATTCGTTCTCTACAGACCCAACTACACATGACAAGAGCAGTTACTCAGAAAATAGGCCGCACACACTTTTTAAAGGTCTGTAAAAACACTACAGTGGAGGAAACACATTTCACACATTCACCAAAACGGAGGATAGAAAAAGAAAAAGAAGATTCCAGTAGGAATAGTGAAAATAGTGAAGGAACAGCTCGACGATGGGCACTTTATAATGAGACACGGCGTGAACTATACGCTTTACTACAAGAGAGGGAAGTCATTAATAATAATAAAGATCGAAAGAATGAACTCCACAGTTATTCTAATGGAACGAATAAAGAATTTATACGTGAGTTGGTTCGGAAAGAACGACAGAATGCTCTTCTACAGGAACGAATACAACACTTAGATACCTTACTATCGTAGACAATAATGGTATACTAGATTCAAAAGGGTGTGTGGGTGTGGGGGTTTTCTTCTTTACTTTCTATCGATCTCTTTCTTACTCCCTCTCTCTATGTGGAAAGTTTCACTCGTTTTTATCTTTTTTTTTTTTTTAAAGTGCTGTTGATACTTTTTTTTCTTTTTTTTACTTCTGGCTGTATTCTTCATCTATTATATATATAATAATGGATGCATGTATAGAGAGAGGGAGATAAAAAGAAAAAGAAAAAGAACGTTTATATATACATACAACAATAATAATGAACCCCAAAAACAGTGAGGAAGGGAGGGGAAAGCGTTTGCGGTATAAAATTCATCTCTTTTTGCAATGCTGCATACTTCTCGCAGCTCTCATTAGTATTATTGGCGTTATACGAACAATTGACTTTCTTAAGGACGATGAGGATCCTCTTGCCCGTATTACACAGGAGATTATATACCAAGGACCAAAGCTGAAAAAACCCGATGATTGGATTATTGAAAATAATCTAACAGGAGACAAGGCTGCTGTTGCTCGAGAAGTATTTAAGCTCAAATGCTTCAATAGTCAACATATGGAAGATCTTATTATGCTTCAGAGGTTTCTGGGTAATGTTACTAATGGATTCTTTATAGAACTTGGTGCCTTTGATGGTATGTCATTCTCCTCAACGTACTTTTTTGAACGGTTTATGAATTGGAGTGGACTTCTCATTGAGGCATCACCAGTAAGTATTGCAGAGCATCGACAGTATTATGCTTCAGCTCGACCAAGAAGTGAATATATTGAAGGAGCCGTATGTGCGGGACTAGAATCATTAACTTCATTTGTACCGTCAACGTCAACATCAAAGGCTAATAACATAAAAGGGGTATCTAGTTCTGTTAAGGATTCAAACCACACTCACTATCTCACACATGTGACATATGGAGGTTGTAAACCTTGTTCACAAATACTGGAACTTCTTTCACCTGAGCAACAAGAGTATCTTCGTCAAAAGTGTCGTAGGGCAAGAGAAACACATGGTAGTTCCTCACTATCCCGTAAGATAAGTCATCTTACCCAGGGCCGTTGTTTACTAACACGTATCAAGTGTATTCGTCTTGATGAGGTTCTCCGTCGCCGTTGTGTACTGAAGGTAGATCTCTTTATCCTTGATGTGGAGGGTGCGGAGTTGGAAGTACTGCGGACTGTGGATTTACTGCATGGCCCACCCATTCATTATATCATTGTGGAGCTCAGCGGGAAAGTGGAATGGCGTGAGCGGGAAGTGCGGCGTCTCTTGCGTGCGGCCGGTTTTCTTCCCCGAGGCCGTATTGTGTTGAGTGAATTGTGGGAAAATGTGAACTTCAATACAGCTCTGCGGTACTATATACAGAGACAGCGTGGTCATCATGGGGATAAGGGGAATAATGCTTGTACAGCAGCTACTCGGCCTAGTAATAGTAGTAATAGTAATAGTAATAATAATAATAATAATAATAATAATAATAATAGTAATAGTGGTGTATTATATGGTCCACATGTGAGTATGGATCAATACAGAGAGTGGATAAAACAGTGTTTTGTGGGGAATTATACACCGGCGATGTTTTTTCGTGAATCTACACAGCAGTGGATACCGCCTTTTCACACTATAGATGAAGTGAAGTGAGTTTCTGCGTTATGGGATGGTGGGGTAGGGTGGGTGGGGAGGGAAAGAGAAATAATAGGATGAATATAATTTCCATTATATTCATTCATTCATTCATATTATACACATATTTATACATGTAAGAAAATACCTTCTTAATTGTTTTATTATTATTACTATTATTGTTTTTATTGTTTTCGTTTTTCATTTTATTGGAGGTATACGTACATGTATATATAAATATATACTAAGGGATTGGTGAAATATGAGGGATTGCTTTTTTTTTTTTTCCGTTGAAAGCCTGCGCATGATATACCATTCACATGTTAACTGTGATATATCGTTATACCGTTTTATTTCCCCAATTTTTTTTTTTTATAAATGCGTTATTCTCTTTTTTCTCTCTCTCTTTCTATGTACTCATTAGAGGAATCCGTTAGAGAAACAGACGGTGAAGGTTGTGAATAGTACATTCTCTCGCATTTTCTGTGTGATTTAAAAGTAAACACAAGAATCCCCATCAATCTGCTCTACTTACACCTTATAAACACATTTAAGCCTATGCCTCAAGAGGCATCATCTCTTGCTTTCTTCGCGGCAAGATCTGCCGATCGCACATTGATGGCAATCATACAAAATACTGAAGCAGCAATGGCAGCAGATACGGAGGGACTTCATAAGGGAAAAGCCGTTGACGTGAAACGTAATCATATACACAGTAAA